AAGGCATTGGCAAATTGATTACATTGGTCCTTTCCCTCTGAGGGAGGGTTCTTTTTTGTGTTATTAAGTAATCTCCACACCCAGCATGGGGCTCAAACTCATGACCCTGAGATCAAGAGTTATATGCTCTAGGGACTGAACCAGCCAGGTGCCCCTGAGTGAGGGTTCTAACTATGGCTTGGTTTGTGAGGTCATTGTGTCTGGCCTAACCCAAGCTTTCCCCTGTCACCATGCAAAGCAGACTGCCACCATTAGGGGATTAGAGAAACTGGGTATGATGTATGGAAACCCTCATCAAATAGACAGTGATTGGGGTAACTTTTTTTTTAAAGACTTTATTTATTTATTCATGAGAGACACACAGAGAGAGAGAGGCAGAGACATAGGCAGAGGGAGAAGCAGGCTTCTTGTGGGGAGCCTGATGCAGGACTTGATCCCAGGACCCCGAGATCATGACCTGAGCCAAAGGCGGATGCTTAACCACTGAGCCACCCAGGCACCAGATTGGGGTCACATTTTAGGGGCCATGGTGTGCAAGATTGGGCAGAAGAATAGTGAATGGAGGCTCCATCTCCCCTCTATGCCACAGGCAGCCAGGTTGGGAGAAAGGAAGAATGGGATATTATTATTATTATTATTATTTATTTTTTTAAAGAATGGGATATTAAAGCAGCAGGTTAAATCATTAACAGGTAAAGCCACCTTGGCTGTGTGGAGGAATGCATTTGAATGCATTTGAACCCACGACCCTATATGCCAGACTGGGAACCCCTGCCAAAGCACCCAATTTTGTAAAGGTGTGGAGTCTCCAGAGACAGCTATTGCCCTGATGCTCACTGTGGATCAACACACTGCCCTGCGGAGGATACCAAGTCCCATCAGGTGTGGGAGAGGCATTATGTACTGGAATTTACAATGGGACATCCCTTGCAGAAGGGTGAGTCACTTCACTCCTTGGGTGAGGGGGAACGACTCAAACTCCACTGGGATCCTGTTGTCCTGCTGTAAGCCAGATCTGTTGAAAACTATACCTGGAATGGAACACACGCCACAGAAAGAGGGGAGAAGACAGGGATTCTGAACACATCCTGCCCCTAGTCCCATTTCCTCACTCCTGATAGCGCTGCCTCCCCTGTGTGTCCCCCGGCCAACAGGTACGTTATGCAAAACCTGGCCAGGTTCCTAAAGCTGCAGTTGCATTAATAAGAAGACTTCCCAATACAAGTTTCTACTAAATATCTGTCTTCTTTGGCCTTAGACTTCTGCTGCCCCTTGGGTGTCCAGTCATGGGATGGACACCTGAGAGAAATATCTTTCTACAGAAGGCCCACTTGTGTGCCTGGCAAAGGACTCAATCCACACTGTTGGGTATGCGGGCAGCCACCCCTCTTTAGCTTGTCAGGATTCCTTTGGTGGCTATCACTCCTCCAGGGAGGGGATCAGAAGGCACTTAAGCAGTATGTTAAGGAAGCACAAGCTAGGAGAGGGGCTCTTAATTCAGCTGATATTACCGATATTGATTCAGAAACCTAGCCTGTGGCACACATGCTCAGTAACATTGGGCATTGGGTATTCTTTTCCTGTTGATTGAGTAAAACAGGCAGCCCATCCAAAAGGTCCTAAAAATACCACTATCAGAGCCATAGGTGGCTTCACTCAGATTTGGGATGGGTTCATGTGGTTTACCCCACGTTGAGCACTCATGTACTCCAATGTAGGGAGCAGGAAAAAAAAAAAGCACTCTAAATAGAACCGTCCCAAGTACACCAGGGATATGGGATGGATGTCACCATAACCGTGTAGTCATTCTGTCATTTTAAAGATTTTATTTATTTATTCACGAGAGACACACAGAGAGAGGCAGAGACACAGGCAGAGAGAGAAGCAGGCTCCATGCAGGGAGCCCAATGCGGGACTCGATCCCAGGACTCCAGGATCACACCCTGAGCTGAAGGCAGGCACTTTAACCACTGAGCCACCCAGGCGTCCCTCATTTGATCATTTTATTTTATTTTATTATTATTATTATTTTTTTAGATCTTATTTATTCATGAGAGAGAGAGAGAGAGAGAGAGAGGCAGAGACACTGGCAGAGGGAGAAGCAGGCTCCATGCAAGGAGCCTGATGTGGGACTCGATCCCGGGTCTCCAGGATTACGCCCCAGGCCAAAGGCAGGCGCCAAACCACTGAGCCACCCAGGGATCCCCTCATTTGATCATTTTAAAGGATCATGACAGGTTTTGCACTGTCACATCTTCCAGGTATTTACTGGGTAAATCCAAATGAGACCCAGTGGTTGTGTGGCACAAATCTTTGGCTTGGCTTCCACCTAGGTGATTGGGCTGCTAAATCCTGAGTTCTCCCAGAAATCTGCCCCATGGTAACACAAGCTGCCAATCTCCCTCCCTTCAAGGCCAGGTGGGCACGATGTTTTCCACTGGTATGATCACTTGTCCACCATGTTTGTTCCCTCCATTGGCCTGGAGGAAGTTATAGTAAGTACACATGCCCTTACTAAGTTCCTAGTAAAGCCTTAAATGATAGCCAACAGGGGCGCCTAGCTGGCTCAGTGGTTGAGTGTATGCCTTTGGCTCAGGGGGTGATCCCAGGGTTCTGGATCAAGTCCCGAATCAGGCTCCCAGAAAGGAGCCTGCTTCTCCCTCTGCCTGTGTCTCTCATGAATAAATAAATAAAATCCTAAAAAAAAAAAATGATAGCCAACAAAGCCTGTCCTACTGAACACTGAAATGTCTCTCATGAGAAAAGCTGTCCTCCAGATTACGATGGGCTTGGACATTACTGTCACCTTGCAAGGAGGCACCTATGCCATTATCCAAGCAGAATGTTGTGTGTTCATACGTGATGAGTCTGCTAACGTATCATCTTTATTAATGCACACGAGGACACAAGTGAATGAATGCCCTGAGTGATCCCACCCCCAGCGTAAGGGACTTAATAAATGAGTAGTTTGGATCATGGGAGTCCTGGTGGAAAAAAACAAGTTGCTTATTTTGGGAGTCATTTTCTCAGTCTGTGCTTTGTCTTGCATCTGCTTAGATTGCTGCTGTGGTAACTGCCTCCAATACAGACAGCCACCAAGCAAGCCATCTTCATGCTAACCACGCAGGGCATTCTGCGGAAGAATGGGAAGTGTAAGATGGAGGTTATGAATGCACGTTCCTCCTAAGCACTGGGAATAAGGGGGTACTTCAAGGGGAACCCAAGGTTAGTTCACTCCTGTAACGCATTATTGGGTCATCTTTTCCAGGATATTTGTGGGTTCTTTTTTTTCTTTTTTGACACAGAGAGAGCATGAGCAGGGGGGAGGAGCAAGGCAAGAGGGAGAAGCAGGCTCCCCCTGCAGCAGGGAGGCTCCAACTGACTCAATCCCAGGACCCTAGGATCATAACCCCAGCAGAAGGCAGGTGCTTAAACAACTGAGCCACCCAGGTGCCCAGGACATTTGTTTCTTATGGGCACTGACATTTGAATGTCATATGCTTTTCACATGTCACTAAATACCCTTTTCATTTTATTTCCTCCTTCAATCATTTACACATATAAATACCATTTTTAGCTCACAGGTCCCATAAAAGCCAGACAGTGGGCCAAGCCATGATATTGCAGACAACTGAAAAATGTAGAAAAGTAGATGATACTCTGTTCCCTAAGTTTTCATACTTTTCCCTGAGGGGTGTAAAAGCATGTTACCACATTAAATACTTCAGATCTCATCCGAAAAAAACTGCCTAAGAATGATGGAGCAGGCAGTTAGTTAGACCTAAGCCGGGATAAGTAGGTCACACACTAGAAGCCTGGGGGCCTTGTTTGTGGCTTTGCGGCAGCAGGCTGGCAGATCAAGAGCACAGGTGCAGAACCTACGGTCTCCCCTGCTGTCGGGTGACTGCCTGGGTTCGTTATAATATATTTGCATTGTGGTTTTGACCCGTCCCCTACCCCCCTGTGGGGGAAGATAGTCCTGACACTCCCCGTAAGAACCTTGTAGGGCCGGGATCCCTGGGTGGCGCAGCGGTTTGGTGCCTGCCTTTGGCCCGGGGCGCGATCCTGGAGACCCGGGATCGAATCCCACGTCGGGCTCCCGGTGCATGGAGCCTGCTTCTCCCTCTGCCTGTGTCTCTGCCTCTCTCTCTCTCTCTCTCTCTCTCTCTCTCTCTCTCTCTCTGACTATCATAAATAATAAATAAAAATTAAAAAAAAAAAAAAAAAAAAAAAGAACCTTGTAGGGCCAAAACCTCTCCCTCCCGACCGGTAGGAGGAGTCCCTTAGATGACTAGAAACCTCAGTAGCAGAACATCCTAGCTAAGCGCAAAAAACATTAAAAAAAAAAAAAAAAGACACCTCTAGCCTCAGGTCAGCTGTCATCCCCTCTGGGCCTGCCCGCTCTCCCACCTCCAGAGTGTGCCGTCCTTAATCGACTGCCTTGTGCTTGCTACCTTCCTTCCGGCTGTCCTTACTCCAGCGCGGATCCCCAGGTAAATATCTGGGGGGGAATCCGAGAGCCGAGACCTCCATCCACACAACGCACTGTCAGTCTCCCGCCGGTAACGCGAACAAGTCCTCACGTCACACAAGATCTCGTGGCTCACGGTGGCCCCTGTTTTTGGTTACTTGAACTAACCGCTGCATAACCCGTGAAAGTTCCCTTTGGGACGACTTCCTAGAACTGGAACTGCGGTTTCAAACTTCTCCCCTAAACGTCCCTGCGCGTCTCCGGAGAGGCTGATACCGCAAGGGATTGTGGGGAGCGTAGTTCTGGCTTGGAGCGAGCGAGTGCTGGGGTATCACTGGCGGAAATTGCTGGGCGAGAAAGGAGCCGCGCATCTTTCCGCAAACGTCGCTCACGGGCGCGCCTGCGCGATACGCGAGGCGCGGCTTCACTTCCCCACGCGATTGGCCAGCTGTCTACCGGGCACGCGCAGATGGCCCTTTTGGCCCCTCCCTCCCGGCCTTCGCACGGTCCTCTGGGAGTTGTAGTTCAGACTCGTATCCGAACTCGACCTCTGGTCGGCGGCTCGCAGTTCCGAGGCCGTCCCTGCCTTCGGCTCTCCGCTGGGAGGATGGATCCAGGACCGGGGACCGACACGGCGCCGCTGACTGGCCTGGTCTGGTCGTCGGCGTCGGCGCCTCCGCCGCGGGGATTCAGTGCGGTGAGCGACGCCGGGGGCCGGGGCTGAGTGGGGGAGAGGCGGCCGCGTCGGGGTAGCAGCCTGGCTCTGACCCGGGTCCGCGCCGTAGATCTCCTGCACCGTGGAAGGGGCGCCCGCCAGCTTCGGCAAGAGCTTCGCGCAGAAGTCTGGCTACTTTCTGTGCCTCAGTTCTTTGGGCAGCCTGGAGGTAAGGAGCGCCCCCCTTCGGCGTTCCTGGGGTCCGCCCACTCCCCGGTCCGTTTGCGGGACCCTCCGCCAGGCGCGCTGTCCCCGCCGCAGCGTGACTGTCGCTGTGTCCTCCCCTTCCTCCCCCTCAGAATCCGCAGGAGAATGTGGTGGCCGATATCCAGGTCCTGGTGGACAAGAGCCCCCTCCCACCGGGCTTTTCCCCGGTCTGCGACCCCCTGGACTCCAGTGAGGCCCGCGTCCGAGGCTGGGGGTGGGGGCGAGGGGCGGGGGGCCGCGTTCGGGTCCCTGTGGGCAGGACCAGGGAGGGTGGAGGGACGACAGGTGCTTGTTCTTCGAGCCTCGACTGCCCACTCGATGCGCTGGGTGATGACAGGGTTGGCTGAGGAGTCGAGCCCTGATCTGGGGCGGGACCAGATGCCCTGCCCTGAGCAAAAATGAGCCATTGACCTCGAGCAAGAGTTGTGACCTGTTTTATTACTCTTCCTGCTACATCTTCCACCGAACCACGAGCCATTTCCGAGCCTTTTCAATTCCAGGCTTTTGCATACACGGTTCCCTCTGCCTGGAGCGCCCCGCGGAGACTGCCGGCTAGCTATACTTGGTTCTCCCGCGGGTCTCTGCTTAGCCCTCCCCACCCTGTCTTCTGGCTCCGTCCCAGCCCTGACCCTCTGCTTTCCAACCGCCTGGCTCTCCTTGCTTCTCACTGCGTTTTGTCCTGTGAATTTAACTCTCAGGGTGATATCTATTGATAATTGAGGTTGGCAAACTTTTTCTGTACAGGTCCAGATAGTTAATATTTTAGGCTTTGCAGGCCAGATAGTATCTGTGCCCCGCCCCCCATCATCATTTTATTTATTTATTTATTTTAATTTTTTATTCATTTATGATAGTCACACACAGAGAGAGAGAGACAGAGAGAGGCGCAGAGACACAGGCAGAGGGAGAAGCAGGCTCCATGCACCGGGAGCCCGACGTGGGATTCGATCCCGGGTCTCCAGGATCGCGCCCTGGGCCAAAGGCAGGCGCCAAACCGCTGCGCCACCCAGGGATCCCCCAGTCATCATTTTAAAATGTGAAAACCATTCTTAGCTCATGAGCCCTGCAAAGTGGATCTTGGACGTCTTTTGGCTTGTGGGCCAGAGTCTGCTGCCCCCTGGATTAGAAGACTAAGGACATGTGATGTTTGCAGGGCCAGCCAGGATGGGCAGTCAGTTCTGTCTGATTCCACACCTGCCCACCCTTGCCGAAGGTGCCCATGCTCACCCCATGAGGCTTCTCCATGTCACCAAAGATAAGCCTGCCCCAATGGCTCTTTTTTTTTTCCTTTAAAGATTTTATTTATTTATCTGAGAGAGAGAGAGAGAGTACAAGCAGGGGCAGGGGCAGAGGAAGAAGCAGACTCCCTGCTGAGCAGGGAGCCTGATGTGGGGCTTGATCCCAGGACCATGAGATCATGAACTGAGCCAAAGGCAGATGCTTAACTGACTGAGCCCCCCAGACCCCCCAGGTCTGCCTCAATGGCTCCTAAGGGCTACATGGAGTTCCCTCCTATGGCTGTACCATTCATGATTTAACTACTGACCTAAAGCTATCCAGGTAGCTGCCTTTTTTTTTTTTTTTAGACTTTATTTATTTATTCGTGAGAGACAGAGAGAGAGGCAGAGACACAGGCAGAGAGAGAAGCAGGCTCCATACAGGGAGCCTGATGTGGGACTCGATCCCCAGTCCCCAGGATCACACCCTGGACTGCAGGTGGCGCTAAACCGCTGCGCCACCGGGGCTGCCCTGCCTTTTTTTTTTTTTTTTTTTGAAAGATTTTATTTATTCATGAGAGACAGAGACAGAGAGAGAGAGAGAGAGAGAGGCAGAGACACAGGCAGAGGGAGAAGCAGGCTCCATGCAGGGAGCCCGATATGGGACTGGATCCCAGGACTTCCAGGATCACGTTCTGGACTGAAGGCGGTGCTAAACTGCTGAAACACCCAGGCTGCCCTGGGTAGCTGCCTTAAACAGTGCCCTGGCGAGTATCATCCTGAAGCCATCTTTGGGTCCCTTCGCTGCTTTTTCCCTCTTCTTACTCCCTTGCACTCCCCCCACTCCCAGAGGCCTCTGTGTCCAAGAAGAAACGCATGTGTGTGAAGCTGGTGCCACTGGGGGCTGCAGACATGGCTGTGTTCGATGTGCGGCTGAGTGGGAAGACCAAGACGGTGCCTGGATACCTGCGAGTAGGGTAGGGCCACCCCCAGCTTCTGGCCTCCTTTGCCTCCCAGCTCCCATGTTTGCCCTGCTGACCCTCAGGGACTCTCCTGAGGCCTCCAGTGCCTTCAGTCACTTCACTGTGCCTTGACTTCCACAGGTTAAACCGGGGCAATTTTTTTTTTAAGATTTTATTTATTTATTTATGAGACACAGAGAGAGGCAGAGACATAGGCAGAGGGAGAAGCAGGCTCCCATGGGAGCCTATGTGGGACTTGATTGCCAGACCCTGGGATCACGACTGAGCCAAAGGCAGATGCTCAACCACTGAGCCACCAGGTGCCCCAAACCAGGAGTAATTGTATCAGTCCTGTAAGGTTCTTGCAAGGAGTGAGTTGATATGTCTGAAGTGCACAGTACAGTGACCAGACCCAGCAATATTAATTCGGATGTTGCTCAGGGTGTGGGCTAAGAAAAAATGCAAACCACCCAAAGGACTGGGGTCATCCTTTTGGGCCAGGACCCCTTTCTACTTCTCTCTCCTTCTAGAGACATGGGGGGCTTTGCCATTTGGTGCAAGAAGGCCAAGGCCCCAAAGCCGGTGCCCAAGCCCCGGGCTCTCAGTCGGGACATGCGGGGCCTCTCCCTGGACCCACCTGCTCAACCCAGGTGAGTCCCAGGCTTGGGAGTAGGGTGGCCATGGGGGGAATTAGGCCTGACTCACACTGTCCTGCCTCTACCAGCAAGGATGACTTTCCAGAGCGGACCCTGTCCAGGTTAGGCTCTCGGGCATCTACTCTGAGGAGGAGTGACTCCATCTATGAGGCCTCCAACCTCTATGGCATCTCAGGTGAGTGCCAAGCAAGAAACTGAGGCACTGGTTGGGGCAAGACTGGCTCATGGTTTTATAGCTAGGAAGGTGTGGGGCTGGGGTTGGAACCAGTCCTGGGATCCCCAGTTTTCCAAAGACTGGGAAGAGCCAGGAGTTTGGGGCTACCACCCTCTTTGGCTAGGGTGGACCGCAGGCAGGCCTCAAGATCCCTGTATCTCAGCCCCTACCCTTACCTGCTTTCCTCAGCCATGGATGGTGTTCCCTTCACACTGCACCCCCGGTTCGAGGGCAAGAGCTGTGGCCCCCTGGTGAGTCTCTGCTGTGGGGAGCCTAGGTCTGTCTTCCTAAGGGTCAGGATGCAGAGAGGTTCATCTGTGGATCCAGTCCCCCAGCGCAGAGGCCCGCATTCCTGGGTTAGAGGAGGCTGGAAGCTGGTGGGGTGGGTCTTAGTCCCAGAATGGCAAATCAGGAGGGACAACTGGATGCTGGTAGCAAGAGACCATGGTGGGAAGGGTGAGGGGATGCTCAGGCAAATATTGGGGGGGCCCCTCCCTGAGGACGGGGGAATGGGGTTCCAGGGTAGGGTCCCTGCCCAAGACTGACCTGCCTCTGCCTACCAGGCCTTCTCTGCTTTTGCCGATCTGACCATCAAGTCACTGGCGGATATTGAGGAGGAGGTGGGTGCAGGGCCAGGATGGGGTGCTGGGGGAACCCCCACTTTCTTGCCACCCCAGTCTCCCCCAGCCACACCCCATCTCTTGCTAAGTCCCCTAATTGTCTCCCCTCCTCACCATTCCTCAGATACTACTATGGCCCCTCACTCACTGTGTTCTCCTTACCCACCCCTGCTCCCCCCAGTATAACTATGGCTTCGTGGTGGAGAAGACTGCAGCTGCACGCCTGCCCCCCAGTGTCTCGTAGCTCTTCGTCAGCCCCAGGGAAAGCCCGCTGCCCAGCACCCCTGACACACCCCAAGACTGGCAGCCACCCCGCCCTGCAGCATCTTGGGAACCTTGGTGGTGCAGGGCTTTCTAGACTAAGCCACCCAGTGGAACCACAGCCCTGGAGAAGGAGCAAGACCTGTCTGCTTGGTGATGGGGTCTCTGGCCTGCCCCGCCCCCGGGCCCTACAAGGCAGAGGTGGGGGCTGGATGGAAATCAGTGCCTTCAAGTCATTTGTGTCAAAACGTTCCGGTGCCCGGAGGCCACTCGGGCATCCTCCCGGCAATAAACATTGCCCTGTGCCCACCGTCTGGAGTGCTGATCCCCGCCGAGGGTCCTCTGTGGCTCGTGGTCTGTGCCACGCACAGCCAGGGAGCAGATATCCACCCAGTTAGCAAAATTGTGGACGGGAGGCAAAGCTGCTGCCACTCCCAGAATATTCTGCAGAGGGATAAACAGGCTCAGTGAGTGAGCGAGACTGTAGAACACAGAAGACCCGGTCGGCCCCTCCATCACTGCACATAGCAGGAATGATAGTTTCTGTTGCGTTTATATGGTGGGGATCACATCCTCAACACCTCCACAGTATCTCATTTAATCCCCCCACACCCCGGTGGGAAGCCCCAGTTTTGTGTGTCTTACATATAGGGAAACTGAGGTAGGGGAAGCTAAGGTCACAACTGATTTTTTTTTTTTAAAGATTTTATTTATTTGAGAGAGAGAGAGGGAGCGAGCAAGCACGAGAAGGGGAAGGGGCAGAGGGAGAAGCAGACTCCCCGCTGAGCACAGAGCTGAGGCAGCGCTGGATTCCAGGACCCTGAGATCATGACCTGAGCCAAAGTCGGATGCTTAACCAACTGAGCCACCCAGGCGTCCCCCACAGCTGAGATTTGAACCCAGAGCCTGCTCTCTTAATCTCAAAGCTGTTCTATGTGTCTTTTTTTTCTCTACTGTGTGATGGATACATTCTGTCCAAAGCATTCTATAATGTTGTAGTGAAAACAGAGTACTGGATTCCACAGCAAATACCCAGGTACCTTCCTGCAAGCCTTTGGTCACATTTTTGTCAGGCAATCGATACATGACCTTGTTCTCTGTGTGTTTTAAGACACCTTTTATTTATTTATTTTTTAAAGATTTTATTTATCCATGAGAGACACACACAGAGAGAGAGGCAGAGACACAGGCAGAAGGAGAAGCAGGCTCCATGCAAGGAGCCCGACGTGGGACTCGATCCCCGGACTCCAGGGTCACACCTGAGCCGAAGGCAGGCACTAAACCGCTGAGCCACCCAGGGATCCCCAAAGGCAGCTTTTAAAATACACCTTGCTGATTGGCTCACACTGACTTTCAGCCAACAGCACTATAACTCATGCCTGAAACAAAGCTCATCTAACACATTTTCTCCAGGGGACACATCCAGCCTTCTTGCATTCAGAGACAGTAAGACAGCACCAAGTACTATACTTAGAGGCCTTTTTAAGTAGAAAAATTGCCAAAAAAAAAAAATGTACAAAATGTGCTACTAGATAGACCATAAAAAGGCCACCTGTTTACTATCAGAGCTGAAGGAAGATGGCAGGGTGTCACCACATTCCACCTCAATGGGGACCCTGTGCCTCAGTGATACAAACACCCCCCCCCCCCCCCCCCCGCTCTGAGCATGTCCCTGAATGGCTACAAAGTGCTGCAAGTATTGGTTTGGGGGTTGCAAATAAAGCTTAGTGGGTGGAACTCACACGTGTGGGGGGGGCTGTAGCATCAAGGTAACCTAGTCCGCAGCAGTCAGGAACATCCTCCAATCTTTGTGGCTTAGAAAGATGAAGGCTTCTTCTATTTTTTTTTTTTATTTTTTTAAGATTTTGTTTATTTGACATAGAGCACAAACAGGGGGAGCGGCAGGCAGAGGGAGAAGCAGGACCCTGGGATCATGATCTGACCTGAAGGCAGGTGTTTAGTGAACTGAGCCACCAGGTGCCCCACTAGGCTTCTTCCTCATTCATACCACATGCCCTTGGCAGAGCAGCAACGGACTCTGCTGGTCACAGCCTCTGAGACCTGCCTGAAGGGGCTGCCACCATCTCACCATGACAGTGGAGGCAGGCTCAGAAAGCTCTTATCCTGTCAGTGAAATGCCCTGGCCTGGAAGGGCCTCGTCAAAGTTCTGCTCGGAGATCACTGGCCAGAAGGCACCCCCCTGGGCCCCCGGAAGGGGTGCACCCCCCACCCAGGTACTTGTATCTAACAGCATTGTCCCGGGGAGCTGAGGGCAGAGATCTGTCCTGCTCTGGGGTCTGAGGGAAGCAGGATGGCCTTGTGCTGGGAGTCTGAGGGCAGAGACTGCATGCTGTCCCGGAATGCTGGGCGAGGGAAGAGACTGTGCAAAATGTGCCCGTCCCCCATGTGCTTCAGCTGCCTTGGGAAAACTAGGCCTTGGGTGCTGAGACATCTTCCCACATCTCCCCTCCCTGGGCCCTGCCGGGTCCCGCCCAGGCTGCCCTGGCGCCGGCCACGGAATCTGATCCCGCCGGGAAGCAAAGGCCGTTTGTTCTCCCTTCTCGGCCACCCTGACACCAGCTCTGGATCACTTTCCAGGACACCCGCGAGTGACCAGGGGCCCCCAGGTGAGCCGTCCTGGTCTCAGCTCTGACTGGACTTGGTGGCCAATGACCCTGAAAGATCCCTCTGAGCCCCGTGGGACCTAAGGACACCCTCAGGAAGGTGCGGGAGAGTCACCATGGAGCCCACCCACCCACCCACTCCCAACTCGGGCCACATCCATCCCGACTGCCATGGCTGAGCCTACACCATCTTGGGCTACAAGGAGAGAGCCAAAGCTTTATCGTTCCTGCCTCTGGCTTCTCCCAGGTGCTGAGACAGGTGTCACCTCAGGTGAGATGAGGTCCCAGCTCCCCTGCTCACTAGCCGGTGACCCTTGAGCAGTGGCTTAACCTCTCTATACCTCAGTTTCTCCATCTTTACAATGGGACTCTCCATGGTGCTTACCTCAGAGCCGCTCCGAGGGAGATGCACGCATACTGCTCTACCGACTTGCAGAAACACTTCCCAGCTCAACAGTTTCTACAGCGTAAAGTCTAAGCAGGTGCATGGGGGGGTGCAGCCCTGGTGGCCTCTGCTATCGCAAACTCCACACTTGTATTCTAATGCTTCTGAGCCCAGCTGTGGCCCCTGCTGCTCTTTCCACCCCCAGATCAGAGCACCCACCTATGCCAGATTCAAACATCCGCTTGCCACCCCCCTTGAAGCCCCCTTAATGCTACTGCCTCCGACTTCACCGTTTATTCTGCCTACTATTGAGCTTGATGTAAGTGTGATTCCCTAATGAGTTCTCTTCTGAGTCTGGCTAATTCTGTTCAATATTATTTCTGTGACGTTTATCTAGGGTCAGAGGATAAACACCCAGGCCTTGAGCCCCTGTGTTGGGGTCACTCTGCTGTGTGTGCTCTTTGCTGTCTCCCAGAGATCCCCAGCAGGATGGAACCCAGGCAGTCATGGTACTGTCTGCTTATTGGTGTCCCTGAAGATTTGGTGTCTCTGGGACTTCCTGGGGTAACCTCCCCTGTAAACAAACCACACCCTCCTCCTCATCTCATGGTCTGGTTCTGATGATCCCAACCCAAGGCAATGTCTTTGGGAGATGTTATTCACTCTCTGATCACACCAGGGTGCCAACAGCTGCTTGTTTTTGCGTGGCCTGTGGAATTAATGGAGACATCAATCCCCTTTCTGATCTGGTCCTCGCAGCTGTGTTTGGTGGAGTGGAGGAGGTTACTTTATTTTATAAAGGACACTAAAGTGGCAGGTCACATGACTGTTCCCCGAGCCAGGTCTGTCCCAGGTCCTGGAGCACCAAACCCTTATCAGGTAGCCAGGACACACAGCGACGACCTCAGCATTTGGCTCCTGGCCGAGGCCCAGCCTCGTCCCCTCTCACCTGATTCTGGCTCAGATATGAGGATGCTTGGCACCCCTTCCAAAGCAGAGCCAGTGGGGGTGGGGTTGGTTTCGGCCGGGCAATGGGCAGCCCGCTCCCGGCTTCGTTTCTAGGGCTCCTATTCTGGGTCCCAGGAGGATGAGCAGGGGTCAGACGGGGATGAGGCTAGTGAGCTCACAGGGTGCAACATTTAAGGAGCTCTTAGTTCAGGAGCCCATCTCCACCTGCAGTGCCTCCTTAAATTTTTTAATTAAAGTAAAATTCACATGAATTCTCCATTTTAAAGTATACAGTTCAGTAGCATTTAGTGCACTGAGAATGTTGTGTAAACATCACCACTGTCTAGTTCCAGAACATTTATATCACTCAGGAGGGAAACCGCATCCTCGTGAGCAGTCAGTCTTTATCCTTGTTCCCCAGCTGCTGGCAGCCATTTACCTGCTGTCTCTGTGGATTTGTCTGTTCTGGACATTCATATGTGAATCACACACTATGTGGCCTTTTGTGTCTGACTTTTTTTTAAATTTTTATTTATTTATGGTAGTCACACACACACACAGAGAGAGAGAGAGAGGCAGGGACATAGGCAGAGGGAGAAGCAGGCTCCATGCACCGGGAGCCTGATGTGGGATTCGATCCCGGGTCTCCAGGATCGCGCCCTGGGCCAAAGGCAGGTGCTAAACCACTGCGCCACCCAGGGATCCCTGTGTCTGACTTTTTACACTTGGGTTTTCAAGCTCCATCCATGTGTACCATATCAGTGGTTTTTGTCCCTTTTCATGCCTGAGTAATATTCCATTACATGGCTTGATCACCTGCCCCATTCCAGTGGATTCTCAGAAACTGTAATTTCCAATGTTTCTTGGGCACCTGCTCTGTCCTGGAGCTCTTTGTGAAGGGGTAACCAGATTCCAGCCATCACCACCATATGGTCTCAGTTCCTGGGCCTCAGTTTCCCCATCTGTAAATAGGGTTATCCTGAAGATTAACTGAGGCCAGGAAAGTGAATGGTATGTGCCTGCAGAACCAGGCGTGTGATAAAGATGTGACATTTCTTATTCCTTTAAAGCAAGTTCTGTACCCAACGTGGAGCTTGAACTCATGACTCCAAGATCAAGACTTGCATGCTGTACCAACTGAGCCATCCAGGTGCCCCGAAATTTATTCTTATTTTTTTTAAATTTATTTATTTATGATAGTCACACACACAGAGAGAGAGAGGCAGAGACACAGGCAGAGGGAGAAGCAGGCTCCATGCACCGGGAGCCCGACGTGGGATTCGATCCCAGGTCTCCAGGATCGCGCCCTGGGCCAAAGGCAGGCGCCAAACCGCTGCACCACCCAGGGATCCCTTATTCTTATTTTTTAAAAAGATTGTATTTATCTATTTATTCATGAGAGACACAGAGAGAGAGGAAGGCAGAGACACAGGCAGAGGGAGAAGCAGGCTCCATGCAGGGAGCCTGACGCGGGACTCGATCCCGGGTCTCCAGGATCATGCCCTGGGCCAAAGGTGGTCACTAAACCACTGGACCACCAGGGCTGCCCCGAAATTTATTCTTATTTTATATTTTTCATTGATATTTATTATGCTCCCCGAGAATCCATGCTTACTAGGTGCCCCACATGTCGGGCGCCACGTGGGATGTTCATGTGTATTATCTCTCCACTTCACTCCACAGCAAAGAGGTCTCTGCAGCTTCCCGGTGGCTCTGGGAGGACGCAGCTGGAGTTGGGGTCAGTGGGCCACTAGGGTCTGGGTGTATTGGATCAGCAGGGTCCCTGCCAGGGTCAGAATTAGGAGAGGAGCCCCCCCCCCACACACTGGGCACTGTTACCTCTCTCTCCATTGGAAAAGGCCCCGGGGCGGGGGGTGGAGTTTAAGCCACTTTGTGGCTGAGCTGCTCCTCTCCCTGGGCCTCAGAATGCCTGTATGGCCCAGGAAGGGACGCACTGGGAGAATTCTGGGGACATCTGTCCATTTGGGGTGAGGGTGGAGGCCAGGCATTCCCACCCCTAGTGAAATTTATATGCATGAAGATTTGTAGGACATGGGCCCCGACTGGGGTCTATCTATAAAGAGTACACTCTTGTACCCCACTTCAGCCTCCACATCCTACTCCTGTGACTCCACCCATCATACTGGGCCTGGGCTTGACCACACAGCATGTTCGGATGTGGCTCAAGTGACAAAGGTGATAGTGAAGGTTGGAGTTTATTTGAGGGTCGTGCAGGTCATGTGGGATGGGAGTGGGACCAGGGCCTCTGGAGATCCCTAGGGCTCCGAGTTTGTTTGTTTGTGTGTGTGGTTTTTTTTTTTAAGATTTTATTTGTTTATTCATGAGAGACACAGAGAGAGAGGCAGAGACATAGGCAGAGGGAGAAGTAGGCTCCCTGCGGGGAGCCCGATGTGGGACTCGATCCTGGGCCCTGGGATCATGCCCTGAACTGAAGACAGATGCTCAACCTCTGAGCCACCCAGGTGTCCCCTCTGGGGCTCTGAGTTATCCAGTCTAAGCCTTGTCAGTTTCATGAGCCCCAGAAAGTGGCCATCAACCCCCCTTTTCCTGCCATCAGGGGCCCTGAATGATGACAGCAGATGTTGGCATGCATTGAGGACCTACTGTGCACAGGCACTTGGAATGGTTTATATTGAGTCTCACAGGAGCCCTAGGTGGAGGAACTGCTTCTGTCCCCATTTTATAGACAAGGAAACTGAGACATAGAGCAGCAAAGCCCTCGGCCAGGGGCCCACAGCCAGAAGGGGGTCCAGCCCTCCAGGGGCCCCTGTGGCCCTGGGCTGCTCTGAGCTCAGCACACACAGATTTCAAATGCTCACAGCCCGGAAGAAGTCGCAGAGTCTGAGACTTGCACTGTCAGCAGCATGGGGGTTAGAGAACCGGGTTCGAATCCTGACTCTGATTCTCAGTACTGGCCATGGGACTCCTGGTGAGTCACTGCCCCTCTCTGGACCTCGGTTTCCTCATCTGTAAAACGGATGGAGACATTTAGAGAATCACTATTTAAACCCAACACTCCCCTCCTGCCTCTAACATCTGACAGCTACATTTCCCAGCCTTTCCTGCCTGGAGATGTGGCCATGTGACTCTGTTCTTGCCAGTGAGGTATAAGCAGGAGGGTCCCAAGGCCTCCTAGAAAGATTTCTAGAAGATGCTGAGCCCCCCACCCCTTGGCCTCTGCCTTTCCCTCTGAGGGAGGAGGTGAAGGCTAGAGCCCTGGCAGCCACTTTGTGCCATGAAGCAGCCTTGAGGACACAAGCCAGGGATGCTGTGAACTGAGAAATCAAGTCATATTACTGTGGTTGAGTCTGGACCTATCTGTCAGGCAGCAGGCCTGACACCAGGTCGCTATCTCTGATCCTTGGGTTCACACTAGTGTGGAGTCCTTCCCCGAGGCCCCTGGCCGGTGGCCCAGCATGCTGCGCATCTCGTGGGTGACCACTTCCCAGTGCCGCCTGCCAGCAGACAGAGTCCGGTGCATGCGGGGTAAAGGCAGGCTGCTCTCCCGGCCTCCCCCCAGGGCTGCAGGTGCTACAGCAGTGCCCGTGGGTCTGAAGGGGTCCCCAGATTCTGGGAAGGATGAGTAGGGGGTCCGGTGGTGGGTACCCTGCTGGGGCTGAGCCCTGGGGCTGGCCTTGGAGACTTCAGCAGGGTGGACAGGGTCGTCTTCAAAGTGCGGTGGAGACAGTTCATGGAGGCTACGGCGGGTGGCCCGGGCAGCCCGGAGCAGAGTGTGGGTGAGGGCCACCACCAGCACCAGAGCACCCACTCCGAGGATGGAGGCGGCGGCCGCACCTGTCTCGATCTCAAAGAGCAGCAAGGCATAGATGGACAGTGCTGGGGAAAGAAAGGGCTCTCATTTACTTAGTCACCAAGCGTTTGCTCCCCAAGCCCCGAGAGAGCTCCCCCAAACACAGGGCAGTCACAGAAACCCATACAGCATGACAGGCGCATAGCTTAACTATCTAATCCTCTCACATTGTCGTCACATCCATTTTACCCAAAAATGGTAAATTTTATGTTATGCGTACTTGACCACAACTAAAGCAACCCGAATCTCAGGCTTCCTGAAGCCCGTGATTAACTTTCAGGGAACCACAGCCCCTCTCCGGCCTTAGTCTGCTGGTTTGAACAAGACAGTTGGTGACCTGACCTTGAGGTCTGATCTGTACTAGTTTTCCGCTGACGTATCAAGCGCCCAGTTGATACCATTCTTTTTTTTTTTTAATTATTTATTTATTTATGATAGTCACACACACAGAGAGAGAGAGAGAGAGGGGCAGAGACACAGGCAGAGGGAGAAGCAGGCTCCACGCACCGGGAACCCGACGTGGGATTCGATCCCGGGTCTCCAGGATCGTGCCCTGGGTCAAAGGCAGGCGCCAAACCGCTGCACCACCCAGGGATCCCGATACCATTCTTTTTGATGAGGACTGGCCTGCACCTTGTAGGACATTTAGCAGCTTCTACCCACTAGATACAGTAGCATTCTCTCCCTTCCCTGTCAAGACAAGCAAAAGTGTCGCCAGAGGGGCTCAGTGGTTGAGTGTCTGCCTTTGGCTCAGATCATGATCCCAGGGTCCTGGGGGAGCCTACTTCTCCTCCTACTTATGTCTCTGCCTCTCTCTGTTTCTCTCATGAATAAATAAATAAAATATTTTTTAAAAAGTCTCTAGATATTGCCAAATGTCCCCCAAGTCAGCAGAATCAATTCCCCTTGAGAACCATTGTCCAGTCCCTACCGTCACCCTGAGCACTAAGGTAGGAGCACGGACCCACAGCTCTGGCATCAGTAATATGCATGGTACTAGGCTTGGCCAATCAGAGCATTGCTTCCCTTGGTTGTAGCGATTGGCGCAGGGCTATCACATGACCCAAGCCCAGCCAATCAGAGCCATCCTTGGGACTTTCAACTGGGCTGTCGGTAGGGAGGAACTTTCTTACCGCAGCAGCCAAGGAATTGGCAGAAGAGAAACCCAGAGTGGATGGAAGCCTTCTTGGCACTTGGCTGGTTGTTTTTATGCTTTCTCTGGCTCTGTATTCTTGCCTTTTTTTTTTTTTTAATATTTTATTTATTTATTCATGAGACACTCGGAGAGAGAGAGCCAGAGGGAGAAGCAGGATCCCTGCAGGGAGTCCCATGCAGGACTGGATCCCCAGACCCCAGGATCATGCCCTGAGCCAAAGGAAGATGCTCAACCTCTGAGCCACCCACCTGGGTGGCTATATTCTTGCTTTTAAGATGCCACACTGCATCATATTTGACATATTAAAGTGAGGCCAAGGACTTTTTTTTTTTTCTCTAAACATTTTTGAAAAGGTTTTTTTAATTATTCTTTTGGCTCTGGCTAGCAACGAATGGATGATTGGATGATTGGCTTGATGTGCTCGGGAATTCTTGCTGAGTGAGGTCACCTAACCTCAAAAAGAATCTAAATGGGAGCTGAACAAATTCTTAATTTAACACTTAACAAGGCTGACACACTTATCTCTTTTCCCCTCTTTGTGAGTTTTTCTTGTAGATTAGAATGAGGATGTCTTATTCTACAAGTCTCCAACACTTTTTTTTTTTTTTTGCCAGGCTGTGAAAAGGCTCAAGATTGTAGGCATTGTGTTGAAAGCACTTACAGATACAGCATCTTTCTCTGGAGATACCAGGGGAAGAGGCGAAGTGAGAGGAATTTCTGATTACATTGTTTGAGCACCTAGATCCAGCTCCACCTGAGGACAACTACCCCTGATCTTTAAAGATACATGAATCATCCCATCCACTCTCCTTTTAAAAAACTCACAATGAAGCATTTTATTAAGTCGAACATCAAAAGTTATTCAGAGTTTCCTGTACATTATACACCCACATATTCCCTTATGTTCCCATAATGGAATATAGGCTCACGTCTCACAAATAAATAATTTAAATATGTTTCTAAACTTCTATTTCTCTGTTGCAGGAATAAGAAAAAGACAGTAACAGCAAATCTCTTGTTTTTCATTCAGCTGAATATTTTTTTCTTCCAGTAAAACAGGTTGTTTATAGGAGTGCCAGTGGCCTACGTATGATTCAGCACTGAATCTGCAGTACCATCAATACATTTTTCAGGATTAGAAAAAATATAAGATGTCAGGTGTCTCTTTAAGGAATCTTGATGATTTGGTTCCTTTTTGGTAAGTGTGGGTGAGAGATGGTGGATTTAAGAAAAGTTATTACAATTTAGGGAAGGAAAGACAGTGCCGTGTGTCCTTCTGTCACCCACATTATTAGTTTTTCTTCTGCTTCATGTTTTGGGATTTATAACTACATTTCTGGTTTATAAAACATATATACACATGTACATGTACATATATATATATTTTTTTTTTTGAGGGGGCGGTGTTTGGTTTTTGTTTGTTTTGTTTCTGTTTTCCTAAGCTATTCGAGCTGGAAGTTTCAACATTTGTAACCAAACAGTTTTTACTAAGACCAACCTGTGAAACACTATCCCCAGAAAACCACCAAGGACTTAAAAGCTTTTGTTCAAACCAAATGTGAGAAACTGAAGAATCAAAAATATTCTGGAGACAGCTACCACTTACGGAACCCGCACTGGGTTCCAATAACTGGGGTCAGATGTTGTTCATGGGCTTTCATCGGAATTAACCCAGAATCCCCTCAGCAATTCTAGAAGGCAGGGAAGTATGCATCCCTGCTGTACCGATGAGGGAACTGGGACACAAAGGAAATCTGCCCAAAGTCCCAGAGCAAGAAAGTGTCAGAGCTGAGAGTCTAACACAGGCAGATTGGCTCTGGAGCTGACTTCAGTTATGGGACCACTACCCCTGGCCACCCCAGCCTGGGGCTCTACACCCCACCTTCTATCCCCCAGCACGCACCTGCTAAGTAGACGGAGACCCCACAGCAGAAAACACCAAGGGCCACGTGTCTGAGGAGACGGCAGTCATAGAGAAACCAGTCAGACCTGAGAAGGAGGGGCGCAGGAAGAGAACGAGCTCAGGGGGTGGAACTGGTGGGGGAAGGCCAGGGAGGAGAGGCAGGGAGAGTGGCCCAGCTTTGGGGGACTTGAGATCTATGGGAGGACTCAACCATCCATCCATCCATCTCTCTCCACCTACCTATTCATTTGTTCTTCCAGGTAAATGTCCACTACTACTTACCATCCACCCATCCCCATTGATATTCAACCACACAGCCATCATCCACTTGGCCAGGCCCTATTAATCCATCCATCCACTTATTTAAATAGCAACCATCCATCCCTCCGTCCTTCCATTTGTGATTCACCACCCATCTACCCCATCCATCCATCATCCATCTCCCACTCACCATCCATTGATCCAACCAACTATCCATCTGTCCATTCATCCACCCCTCATTCACCACTCATCCATCCCCTCTCTCCTATGACTCATCCATATACATCAGTCCATTCAAATATCCAACATTCATGAGGCAGCTATTATGCACAGACACTTGCTAGGGACCTGACTTCTCATTATTTTATGGACCATAAGCTTATTTGGGAAATGAAGAAACCAGGGTAACTTGTCATCAGACATGATAGAAACAGAGATTCCCAAGAGCTGAGACTGATTGAGGACTTAGTTTTGAGCCTGGTACTGTGCTAAGCACTTCTGTTGTGTGCACCCTCCCTTCTCTACTCCTGGAGGTTTAGGAAATGGAGGCTCTGAGAGCTTCCATTATCACTCACCTCCCGCTGGTACAGTGGAAATGGCTTCTTCCCTGGTCTCCCCACCACCTCCCCTCCCGGCCCCTGTTTTCTTGTGTGGCAGCTGGAGGGTGTTATTTCAAACCGAAGTCAGATCATGTCCCTCCTTGCTCACAACTCTCGGGCAGCGTAAACCCCAAAGTCTTCACCATAGCACAGGAAGCCCCTACATGCTCCAGTTCCGGATTTCCCTGTTCTTATCTCCTTCATGTCTCCCTCCAGCCACACCAACCACTACCCTCTAACACCCCAAGGTCATTCCTGCCCCAGGGCCTCTGCACGTGCTGTTCCCCCTGCCTGGATCACAGACCTCCAGATCTTCTGCCTCCTTTCCTCCTTCAGTTAAGTCTCTGCCCAAGCCTCCACTGATGGTCCCATCTCAACGACCCATCTCAACCACCCTATCCTCTTCTACTGCATCACCCATTTTCTTCCTTTCCCAGCATTTATCCTGGGATTGACATTATTGTCTAGTCTCTATTGTCTACCCCAAGAGGGCAGATCTGGATCCCTCTGGTTCATGCAGTGTGTCCTCTACAAGCTATGTTGGGCTCAGCCCCCTGCAGGCACCCAATACAAATTTGTCGACTAACAGATGAGTGCATTTCAGCACCGCTTGAGCTGTGGAATGGATACTGCACACTTTAGGTGGGATCAACTCCAGCGGGGAAGTTCCCATCTGCTGAAATCCATGGAATCCTGGCCCCTGATTCTGGCTCCCCTGCCCCAGCATCCTGGAGGAAAACACTGGGAGGTGGGGCAGCAGTGAGTTCTTGACTCAGGGTAAGTTCCTCACTCTTCATTCCCTGCCCCCTGCCCCCTGCCTCCCCCGCCCCCTGCCCATGTTCCAGGTGCCTGAGTAAGGAACCCCACGAGGGGCCAGAGCACAGGATCTGGCTCTACCAGGAGCATGTTCACATCTAGTCCACCTGCTTCCAAAAAGGGCAGCCTAGAGAGATCAGTCTCCCCTGTGTGAGGCTCAGTTACAAAGGGAGGTAGCAACACCAGCAGCCCAGGGACCGGGGGCCTTCGCTGGGTTAGTCCACAGAACACGAGAAGCACGGAGCTTAGGGTTCCCTAAGTGAACATCAACACTGGGGCCAGCCTACCCTGGGTCTTCTCTGACTGCAGTTTTCACCTCTGTAAAATGGGGGTCACTGTAGTCGGTGCACCTGCTGTAAATTTTCAACTACTGTAGGATGAAGGGAGGGAGAGATGGTAGAGGGAGTGGGAGATGGAAAGAGGGGAGAAAGGGAGGTCGGGATGGAAGAAAGGGGAAGGGAAAGGGGAGAGGGAAAGCTCTCCCCTAACCTGAGGCCCCTGAGAGGGGCAGCGGCTCCCCCGGGCTCTCCGGGCCCCCAGCCGGGCCTCGGGGAGGAGGGGACTGTCCTACCTGCCGGGGCCAGGCCCCCGCGCCAGCTCGGCGCCCAGATGGCCGCAGAGCGCGGCGAGCAGAAGGCAGGTGAGGCCCAGCACCAGGGCGAGCGCGGCGAGCGCGGCGGCCAGCGGCAGCAGCGCCCCGGCCGCGTCCTCGGGCAGCCCGGGGCCGCCGCCCAGCTCGGGGCCCAGCCCGTCGGCGCGCAGCCCCCGAAGCTCCGCGCGGCCCGCCTGCAGCTGGAACAGCAGCTGCGCTCCCAGCGCCGCCAGCACGGCCGCCGGGATGCCCAGCAGGGTCATCGCGGCCAGCACCCGGCCGCCGTACGACCGGGCCATGGCTGGGGTCTGCCGGTCGGGGTGGGGGTGGGGGCGGTCAAGGAATAAGAGATTTTAACCGGGCAGGTGAGTCGGGCGGGCGTCCAAGGGCCCCCAGGAGTTCCGAGGGGGGCGGGACTGCACGGGGTATCTCAAAGTTGGGGGGCCGTCGGGGGATTGGCGTGCCGACCGCGGTGGGGATGAGAAAGTGCCGCGAAAACTTGGGACCAAGTCTTTTCTCCTCCCTCTGGGGACCCTGCGGGCGCCCCCTCCCGGCGTCCACGTCCTGGGCGGGCGGGGCCGGCGCGGGGCGGGGCGAAGATGGGACGGAGGTGGCCCCGGGAGCTGCCAGGGCTGGGAGGCCGGAGCCAGGGAACCCCACAAGCCCCCAAACTCATTAAAGCGAGTCCCACACCACCCACTGCCCTAAGCACCTGTTTCATTGTTCTTTAAAAAAGGAAATTTGAACGAATTTTTAAATAATTCCCTTTGATATTCAGTCTCTTATCTGCGGACCTTGCAATTGGCTGTGATTTCCCCTCCGCTCAATCTTCTTTCAGAAATGTCGCCTTCTGGGTGAGGCTCTTTGGGGCCTCCCGCTTGAGCTGACACCCCTGTCCTTTGCTGCTGGGCTTTGTTCTTCCCGTGACACGTTTTTGGTTATTATAATTTATTTTTCATTTTTAAAATTGAGGTGAAATTTACATGACATAAAAGAAACCACTCTGAAGTGAACAATCCAGTGGCATTTAGTACATGCATGATGTTGTGCAAACAACATGTCCGTCTAGTTCTGGAATATTTTCATCACCCCAAAAGGAGCCTCTCATCCCCCACCCATTAGCAATCACTCCCCACTCCTCCTCCCCCAGCCTTGGCCGCCACTGATCTGCTCTCTGTCTCTAGATTTGCCTGTTCTGGACATTTTACATACATGGAGCCAGGCAGTATGTGATTTTTTTGTGTCCAGCTTCTTTCACTGAGCAAAATAATTTTTTGAGGTTCATCCACGTGGTACCGTGTAGCAGTTCTTCATTGCACATAATGGTTGAATAGCACCCCACTGTGTGGATGGACCGCATTTAGTTTAGCCATTTGTTTGTTGAGGGGCATGTGGGTTTTCCCCCCACCTTTTAGCTGTTGTGAATAGTGCTGGTGTGAACACGCACGCACAATTATTTCTTTGAGTCCCTGTTTTCATTTCTTTTGCGTTTACACCTAGTAGTGGAATTGCTGGTAACCATACACTTAACTTCCTGAGGAACCCCAGACTGCTTTTCACAGCAACTGGACCCTTCTACCTTCCCACCAGCAGTGCCCCAGGGTTCCAATTTTTTCATTTCCCTGCCAACACTTGCCGTGTGCTGGTTTTTTGGTTACAGCCAACTTACTGGGTGCGAAGTGGTATCTCACCGTGCTTTTGATTTGCATTTCCCGAATGGCTAATGATGCTGAGCATCTTTTCATGTGCTTGTTGGTCATTTGTGTATCTTCTTTGGAGAAATGCTTGTTCAGGTCCTTTGCTTATTTTTGAGTTGGTTGCCTGTCTTCTGCGTACCTGTCCCTCCCTGCTCCTCCCCGCCCCCCAGCACTTTGCATCTCCTGAAGCCCTGCCCGCTGGTTTCTCTACAGTCCGAGGTCCCCCCACCCCGCCGGGAGTGGGTGTGCTCCGGGGCGCCGGGATGTCTGCCTCAAGTGTCCACCGCTGTGTCCCCTTAGCGTCTGGGCGGCGCTCTTCAGCACAGAGGCTTCGGCACGGCATCCCCACGCGCGTCCTCGCCGCGGGGGTCAGAACAGCTCCCCGGCGCCGCCCTCCGCCCCGCGCTCCCCCTCGGGCTGGCTCCCGCCCCCCGGGCCGCGTTTGCTCCGGGCCTCCCGGTCCACGCGGTACTTGCAGCGGCGCAGCGGCTCGGTGAGGCTCCGCGGCGCGGGGTCGTCCAGGTCCTCGGGCTGCAGGAAGTTGCGGTCCAGCACCTCGGCCGCCTCCTGCCAGTTGGCGAAGCAGGCGGGGCCCAGGCGCCGGATCTCGTCGGTGGCGTCGCGGCTGAGCACGTCCCCGCCCGGCTTGAGCACCACGACGGCCGGCAGGCGCTCCACCGAGAACCGGCGCCCGAGGTCCCTGCGGGGCGGGCGGGTCAGTCCGGGGAAGCCCGTCCCTGATCCCGAGCTGGGGAGCCGCACATCCCTCCTCCCAGTACTCACTGAGCGCCTTCTGCGTGCCCCGTGTACGCTGGGGGCGCCCAGGGACCAGGCCAGGCCAGGACGCGGTGGCCTCTGCACTGTCTCCAATACCTCAGACACGCGGCTACCGCACTTCTATTCTATTCTATTCTATTCTATTCTATTCTATTCTATTCTATTCTATTCTATTCTATTATCTATTCTATTCTATTCTCACAACATGCACTATATGGGACATACTTATACTAAAAACGTATACTGAAAAATTATTCATTGTTCATTGGAAATTTGTTTTGAACTGGGCATCCTGGGACGCCTGGGTGGCTCAGTGGTTGAGCGTCTGCATTTGGCTCAGGGCGTGATCCTGGGATCCGGGATCGAGTCCCCCATTCTTCTTGCAGGGAACCTGCTTTTCCCTCTGCCTGTTTCTCTCTCTCTCTCTCTCTCTCTCTCTCTCTCTCTCTCCTCTCTCTCTCTCTCTCTCAGGAATAAAATAAATCTTAAAAAACGTTAACTGGGCATCCTGTATTTTATTTGGGAACACTGGTGGGGGAGGGCAGTGGAGGGGGTGGGGATTCGATCACTGTCCAGACTCCTAGCCCTAGTGAATGCTTTGTTGAGAGGACCCTGCCACAAACGAGGTCAGCAGGTCTGAGTTTGGCTGTGATGCCCTCACAGCTGCCATTTCTGCCCTGGGAAGGGAAATGTTGCCAGTTTACAGGAAAGATTCCCCCTCAGCCTCAGAGAAGGCAGTAGGAGTGAGCCAATAATGCCCAAACGATGATAATGTTGGGTGGAGAATGAAAGTCTCTAGAAACTTCCAACTTGTGGAGCAAAATTAATGAAATCAGTGAAGTGTCAGAAAGTCTATGGCTCAGTGCAGACTCCACGTGTGTGGAGATAAAGCAAATATGGCAAAATGTTAACGATTGCTGTGGGTTTCATTATATGCTTCTTCCAAATTTTGGTGTCTTTGAATTTTTTCATAGTGAAAAGTTGGAGTTTATAAAGAAGGAAAGCTGGGTTTGCCTGGCTGGCTCACTCGGAGGAGCGTGTGTATCTCAGGGTTGTGGGTTTGAGTCCCACGTTGGGTGTAGAGATTACTTTAAAAAATAAATAAAAAGAAGGGAAGCCTTATTGCAGAAAGGGGAAGGTTCTAAGATAGCCACAAACTGTAGCATTGTTTATTGGGCAGCTGAGTGCAAAGCATGAATCCACCCACCGCTCTCAGCTCCAAGGCCTTCCCTGGCTCCCAGCGACTCTGAGGATCACATCCACCCCAGTTAGCATGGAGTTTGTGGCACTGCTCCACATGATGGCTGCAGACCTCTCACATCTGTTATTACTTACAGTTCCCTGAACTGGCTGTTATTTCTCTGATGGCCTCCCAGCCTTTATCTGGGCTGGGCCTCCTGCCTGGAAACCCCTCCCTCTCCTTACTCTTTCCTATCCTCCCTGGACTTGGGGTCTCTCTTTAAAGCCACTTTCTCAGGGAAGCATCCCCTGACCCCAAACCTCAGCAAGGTCTCCCCATTATATTCCCATATGGCATCCTCCCTTTGTCCTTTGGAACATAACTACAGTTTGTTATTATGTATTTATTTGAGTCTTTGTGTCATGTCTGTCTCCTCAGCTAGGTTGCAAGCTCCTTGGGAGCTAAACAGAAATGGGCACAGCCCCCCCCCCGCCCCGTGGCCCCCTTCCCACTCCGACTCCGTGCACACTGGCACACAGAATGTGCTCATCAATTCCAGGTGGAACAGAGGCAACAATAAACACATACTTCACTTTCTGCAGAAATAGCTCCTCCTCCAGGAAGCCCTCCCTGACCTCTTCTCCCACCTCACCTCCTCAGGTCATCCTCAAAGGGCAGGAAGAGCCACTTCTTCGGCATGTCCCTGAGGAACAGATCCTGCTGCTCCTCTGTGGGGTCCTGGGACACGTACACCAGAGCCAGCTGGGCTGCCCGCAGCACATAGAACTCATCTGTGAGCCTCACGAAGAAATCCCTGAGGATAGGTGCGAAGGCTTGGCACTGTGGGCACGACCCGGCGCCAAAGAACAGCAGCACCAGCCGGTTCTCCAGCTTGCGGCTGAGCTCGGCCTCTGTGTCCAGCTCGTCCTGGTCACTGTTGTTGCGAATCAGGACGCGGCCGGAGAACAAGGAGGCCATGGCAGCCCTGGCTAGGAGCTGGGGACACGGCAGAGGGATTTTGCGTGGTCCTGAGCCTGCTGGCTGGCTGCTGGTCCAGGATTAGGTATCTTTAGGAGGTCAATTTAGCACCTCACTAATCTGCCTAAACCTTGACCTGATTCTGTGTTGCCTCCGAGGGCAGGGGCAGGCCACCTGTGGGTCCTTCTCTGGAGAGAGCTAGAAATCCATTAAGAAAACGCACAGGGGGACCCTGGGTGGCTCAGTGGTTGAGCGTCTGGTCGTGATCCCGGGATCCTGGGATTGAGTCCCCCATCGGGCTCCCTACAGGGAGCCTGCTTCTCCCTCTGCCTGTGTCTCTGCCCCTCTCTCTGCCTCTCTCATGAATAAATAAATAAAATCTTGAAAAAGAAAAGAAAAAAAAAGAAAATGCATAGGACTGTAAAGGAAAACAGTCATCCTGACATATGGGTGTGAAAATATTTTAAGTTGTAACGCCAAATATACGTGCTTCTCCACGAATTGAGCACATTAAGTAATCCGATTCACCAGAGCTCTGCAAATTATCGTGATTTCTATTGTTATAAATGATGTTTTGAGGTGTCTACCTGCAATGGCCAGGATGTGATATGGAATTATCTTTGATTTCCACGGGAGACAGGGCTGGCTGCTATGACAGGACATGAAAAGATATGCCACATTCCAGTTAGAAGCCTAAAAATTAATGATGGGAAACCTGTTCATATGGAGGGGGAGGCCAGGAGGGGGAGCTCTCACCAAAGCACTCCATGTCAATGACAGGAAGGCAGGTCAATTTCAGATCTTTGAAAAATAGAAGAATCTACAGGA